TATCATCACCATTATAATTACCAGCAGTGCTAGGCGTAATGGTAATGCCGCCAACATTCAGACGCTTAGAACATTCACGTCCTTTTTATTTGTGATTAATTTTAGAATTTGTAGGATGTGTCGCATCTCAGACCAATTACAGGCTATTTGTGAAATGCGATCTTAACCTTGCTAAAGGGTAGCGGTTACTTCTCTAAATAGCTGACTGCATATTAACTTGCGTTTACAAAAATCGTTTCATGTCAAAATTGTTTTCCGTTTAAAATTAACCTTATCTACGCCATAGAATTTTATCGTTGATAATTTGCACATCCTCAGTCACTTCAAGGGGTAATGTAAGGGCACCTATGTACATATGCATGAAGGTATGTGTTCGTGCCCACTTTTCAGCTTGATAGTTTCCTTCGATTTCGTCAAGATTTCTTGACACTTATGTAAGTGGAAAATTTGTAGAAGCTACAACGTAATAACGAACGCGATTATAACTAAATGAAGAGCAGCATAAGCGTATGAAGAGAGAGAAGAATATACAAAATAATAGACACATTAGTGAGCTTATACTTATATGTATTTTCTCATTTAGTAGCATTGCATATGTGAATACATCAGCATACTTTCTCATACATACATATGTTGCCTGTGCCTTTTTAAGATTAATCAAGATACACAGACTACTACAGCAACTTGTAAACTTTTGTTTCCTCCGGCTTGTATCTCTTCTCATAATCCATTTCGGCACTTAGCTTGCGAAAAATGCTGGAAAGAAATAAAATAATAATAGAGAAAAAGCCCTGCGAGGCACTTTTATAAATGTGTGTTGTTGCGCTTGTCGTTGACAACTAACGGCGCTGAGTGCCATTGACGTGAACGTCACTTGCGGTCCGAGCAGCGCAAGCACACTCATTAATCTTGAGGCAGCCCGCAAGGGTGTCTGTGGGCCACCACTAGTGACAGATGTGTACAACACACACGCACACACACGCTATCATACTTTTTTCCTCGGCATATGTATACACGGTAAATATGAGTGAAAGGCTATAAAAATGTGTTGAAATCAAGAAGGATGTTTTGTTGTAAAAATCTGTGCAAAAAGATGGGTAAAGGGGAAAAAGCAAGAAGTTGAAAAAATGAATGATTGTGTGCGCGCAAGGATTACCAAAGAGAAGGAAGTGCAAGAGCGGCGAATAAGTGCCTGCCTGCAGCAAAAGCTAGCTCGTATACTTAGTAATATGTATGTACAAACAATTTTATAGCTTTTTGTTTGTTTCTACATAACACTTTGGCGAGAGAAAAATATACATATTCTCTTTAAGCAGTAACATTCATTTCTTCAGTTGTGTAAGCTTCCTGTACACCGCATAGCTATAGCAAATCTCATGAGTTGTTGTTTTTTTAGTGTCACTTCCTTCTCTCGTCAGAAAAGAAAACGCTAAATCATTCTTCTTGCATATACTACTTCAATCAATGGAGTTCCAAAAGCCAGTACAATATAAAATAAATCAAGTATTTGAACAATTTTAGCCTTAAAACGTTTATTTAGGCGAAAAGGTGCCAAAATTACTCTGAAAAAAATTTAGTTATCTCTCGAAAAAAAAATAAATTTTTGTTTTTTTTTAATAACTTTGAGAAGTTTTCAAATAGAATGTTCATATTAGAAGCAATGGTCATTTGCATCAAATACAATATAAATGTGAAGTTTCAAGAGTGTGCCACCAAATATAAAAAAAAAAAATGGCAGCAAGCAGAATATCTGTCAAAGCTATTTAAATTTTTGAAATATTACGATTTTTTTTTTAATTTTAATAATTTAAGATACTTCAAAATGTTACAATTAAACGGTCAAATTGTTCTTCTTGCCAAAACGAACGAATCTAGTTTAATAAAACTGGTGTGCCATCAAATGAAAAAATATTTATTTTATGTTTCATTAAAAACTGGCTCAAGCTCAATTAAAATTGTTGAATATAATTGTTATAAGGCCATAAAATAACAAAAACAAAAATTTTATTTGGTAAAAGTTGACTATGTTTTGAAAAATTTAAATTCCATTTTTTACAATTTTCATTGGGTCAGTCGAGATTCATGCTAAAATTTTTATATACACGAAGAAAGTAATATATACATATACGCATAAGTAATACTGTGTAAAAATCTTCCGCGCCAATATTTAATAACTTTTAACTTACATGACTTTTAAGTTAAAGCGTACGAGTAGACGTGATAGCTGACTGCGTGTGGTGGTACGGGGCGTATACATAATATAGTCACATCTACGGGTATATGAGCACGAGTTATTTTTTTTAGTATATCTTTTTTAAGCTTTCATTTAAATACAATTTAGCCATGGAATCTTGTTCTTTACCGCAAAACGAAAGATAATACATTGTCTAAAATAAGTGTGCCACCATTTTTGACCAAAAACAACTCCTGAGATTTGCTCATATTTACGCATTTTAGACCGTACAAGAAAAAAATATTCGCCATACACCCCTGTGTCTAAAGAATTTTTGCAGGGCAATTTCGGGGAAATAGAAAATCTTTCTTTACCGAACGTAGGGTTTTTCTTATTTACATATTTCAGCCTCAGCATTTACAGTCGAATCTTAAAGTATTATATATCGATGGTCCTGTCTCGAGTAGAATATTTTTCTTGTTCCGACTTACATTGATCTCAAGCACCCCGCTCTAGTATTTACCCACCATATCTCAGTTCTTATGACTTACCATGCTGATCTCAGTAAATTAAAGCTCACCAAAAATGAATAAATTTTTTCCCAGGAAGTATTTCAATGATTCCAGTAGAACCAATGAAAAGAAATCGAATGCCGAATATAGATGTCACCGAAAAATAGAAAAAAGGACCCCTAGGTTCGGATAAAAAAATGTTTTTTTTTGTCATAAAATACCTCATACTGATGGTTGTACGACGATTTTTTTTTTTGTTTGCTTGTAAGGTACTACGGTCTAATGTATGTATGTACATATGTATGTAGGTGCATATATATATGGGTAAAAAGGCTTAAGTTAATACTGAACAACAATGCGTTGTCCGGAAATTGTGCGAAATTAAATTGTACGCAGAATATTAAACGCGCGCACTCGTTCGCGAAGTAGATGCGTATGCAATAGCCGCGGGTTGCGTATACGACATGTGGGACTACAAGCCCGTCACAGCGCAAGCACAGGCAGACGCAGTTTAGCTGGCTGCTGCTGTAACTTGGCAACTGAAAGGTGTGAAGCGCCACCAATGCAACTTAATTAAGGTGTGACATCGCGATTGAGCTTATACATATATTTATCCATATGTACATACATGTGTGTAGGTGATACATTTGTGCTAGAGGGAGCCGGTATGTATGTACATATGTGTGGTGCTCGCGTTTAAGCTGTGGCGCATATTTAAGCTGCCCTACGGCACCGTGCCGTTTTATGTATATAATGTGTGTTTGTACATAGAACGATATGTGTATGTATGTAAATAGCAGCACTGAGATACATACATACATACATAAATGCATTGCCAGCAGGTAAATATGCTCGAATGTTGCACTCTATTTACTGTGTCCGCGTTGAAGTAATGAACCAGCACACTGTCAACAACAACAATCGAGCTTAAATTAGTAACCAGGCTGACAAATGCAATCAAGCGCGACAATGCAATGAGAATGTGTTGGTGCGCGTCAATTACCTATAATACGTGGACGGCGCAGTAAGGAGGCGCGAGGACAGCTGCATTGCATCCTGCTATGTTTAAAGGTTTAAAATGTTTATTCGCTTTTAGCTAAAATCCTTAACGGTATTTAAGCCTGCAGTTCATTTCTGTGCCTAATGTGAAATATCGTCGTTGGTTAAGGCTAAAGTTGTCTGCCTTTGGTTTCGGTAGCTTGAATTTTTGGTATTGGTAATGGTAGCAATAGTGATAGCTTTTCCTGTATCGCTATCGAATACTCATCCATTTTCTTTAGTATATCACTAAACGATAGTCGCGTTGAGTTGCCTTCCTCATCGATTGACATTTCGTAGTCATGTATGTATTTCCAACTCTTTGTCATTAACTCAGCCAAGAATTTCACGAACTTTGCGCCGGAGTGTTAACAACGCTTGGCATTTCTTAGCAATTATTTAAAGACACTTTATTGGCAATTTTCTTATATTCCAAAAATATCGCTAACTTTTAAGTTTTTGGCCGCTTTCAAAAACTCTCATTATGCTGTTTAAGATGGCCAAGAGCTATAAACAAATTTGGTAGAGATCAATGCAGTTGGTTTCCGAGATGTATTTGTTGTATGTGGGCCCATATTCCAAAATTTTTATGAAATATCATAGTTTTTCAAAAGAGCCATTGTAAATACCAATTTCAAGTAAATATTAAATAATACTTAAGCACATTATGCAAAAGATTTAAAAATCCAGTACATACGCATTTATACATATATCGATCATTTCTCGCGAAAAGTGCCAGAAAGCAATTTTAAAGGAGAACGTTTTTCGTACTTGAAAATTTTTTTAAATTTATCATTACTACCTACAAAATACTTTTGTAGACACATACGATAACTTTGCTCACAAGTAGAAAATGCATTGCGTAATTAATAGGGCCACGACATTTTAACAAATTTTGCCTTTTTTTGGTTATTTAATATTTTTAATTTTTTTTTATAAATTCATATTTCAAACTCAGTGCAAAAATTATAAAAATTCTACACAATTGCATCTAAACAGTTACAACTTTTATTAAAAAAATCATTCTTTAACATTAATTTTTTGACTTTTATTTAAATAATCCTTAAATAACGGTTTTTTCTGATTTTTACTTTTTAAATCCAAAGTAACAATTATTTTTGATTTTCAGCTAAATAATTTTCAAATAATAGTTATTTTTATTTTTAAATTATATATGTATCTTGGATAATAGTTACTGAATAGCTGACTTTATAAAAGTCATCAACATAAATCAGTCACTGACTTTTATTTTTAGAATGGACATACAATATAAAAATCAAAAATAATTGTTATTTTGGATTTGTAGAATAAAAAACAAAAATAATTGTTAATTTTTTTAATTAAGCTTAAAAATTACAAATAAAAATTTATTTTCGAATTTGATTCTTTGTGCATAAAGAAATCGATTGGTATGTATCACTTAGTTGTAGAACATTTCCTTCATGGTGAATTTTTCAATGACAGTTTTCATCAATAACTGTTATGTTCGATCCCTGCACCTAAATTTTCAACTTGTTAATCAGATTTTGAAAAATTAGTAAATTTTAGTATAATAAAGTGCAAGTTTGAAGTTCCTACAAAATTTTGTTGATTTTGATAATTTTTTTCTGAATGCATTACACACTTTTTCATACAAAAAATGCTAAAAATCAACGCTATAGACTTTATTATATTAAAATTTAATGTGTTATAAAACTGCATACTCAAAAAAAGTCTGTTTCAAAAGTGGAAAGATTAAATGCAAATTTGCAGAATTTTTATAATTTTTGCACAAAGTCTTCAATATGAATTTATATATTTTTCATTAGATAATTAGCTATTCTTTTCTAAAAAATAAGAAATATTAAATAAATAAAAGAACATGTAATTTTTTGCAAAAAAAAAGAATCGACTCAAAAAAAAATATATATATATGTTTCATGATACACTGACCTAAACCAGATTAGTATGGGACCACCTCTGAGACACTACCTTTCCGATGCTAAAAGAATTACCGAAATCGGTTGACGTGGTTCAAAGTTATGCGGTAACATACATAAAAATAAAATAA